CCTGAGCAGAAGCCAAACCTTCCTTCTCCCCATGTTTCCACAAGAAATGCTGCTGGTGTGAGCCCATAGATGCTGTCCTTCAGATCTGTCCTTTCTGCCCAGCATCGATGCCGTGCCTGCAGACCTGTTTCAGGGCTGGAATCCCACTGCTGAGAAATGTCCTGTGGTGGCTGTGCTTGTGCAGTAATTACCCCTGCTTATCCCAGAGCAATAACCCATTTCACCCACCTCCGTGCTTCCCTGGATCCATCCTCCCACTTTATTGAGCTCATCTATAACAGGCAGGAGGCTGCCCAGTGCAGCATCCTTGCTTGTCGCGATTTTAAGCAGTACTGAAGTTTTAGCTGAAGGCTCTCATGGACCCGAGGGACTGCGGGAGAGGGGACAGCAGCTTCCTGTGGATTTCAGTAAAGCACAGACAGAGCCATTGCTGATCACCACAAATACCGGCTCTGCCATGAATTATGCATTCCTTGTTTAAAGAGAGGTCGTTCTCATTAATAATTGAAAGCTCCCCGCTCTGCCTTCAGCATCACATCTCCCACACCGGGAGTTAGGGAACTCATGAAATCTGCATGGACTTCCTCAAGGTGGCTAGGGGCTGATGGGGAGAGGCAGCAAAACGCAGGCAAAACAAACTCAAAACCCCGTTGACAGTTTTGGCTCATGAAATGAGGAGACATCTGTACCCTGCAGGCAGCTCTGCTCCAGTTCTGCCCCTCTCTGCTCCCCACATCCCCATCCTTTTCTGTTCATTTCTCCTGGGATATGCAGGAAGGGCTGCAAACAGTTGCAGCTAGTTTGCTTTGGGTGCTTGCCTAAAAAAGGCTCTAGGCTCATTGGCTGGATGTTCCTAGGGACAGTTGGAGCTGTAAAGTTTGTCTCTTTTGGAAAATAGTGTAGAGCCTGTGTCTCACACTGCAGCCAGATAGTCCTGGGACTGGGGCTGGTCTTGCATTCAGGGGCTGCAAACCCAGGTCATGCAGACTGGCTACTCTGAACCAGAAATCATCTTTCTTGGGCAGAGAACTCTTTGAAGGGTGTAATTCTCATGCAGAATCAGGCAGGCAGGGAGCAAAACTGAAATCTCAGAGTTCCCAAGCTCTGTGTGATACTAACAGACAGAGGGACTGGTCATGTGTGATGCTTCGAGTCTCAGCCAGATCATGCTCTTCACACCAGGCTGGGGAATCTGAACTAGGGCTGGGCTCTTCTGTGTGCTTCTCTCTTTACTCTTTTCCCAGTCCTTTCAGATTAATTCCACCTACGTCAGCACATGGGCTTAAACAGAGATTGGATGCTGTTGTGTCTCAGGAATTGAGAAATCTGAGAAAATAGCATGAGCCAAGAGTAGCACCAGAAACATTTTGTCCCTATCATGCTCACTTTGTGCTCTGTGTGTATGTGTTTATTTTTATCGGAGAACAAAAGATTGATGGATGAAATTAAGTAGAGAGATGTGTAATTGGAAAACAGCTCAAGAAGGCTACAGGCAGAATATTGAAGGCATCCATCAAACATCCAGCTAACGTTATTACAGGTGTGTAACACAAACAAGGGCTGCAGGAGACACTAGTTAAAAAAGAAGAGGGAGGAGAACGGGGAATAGGCAGGATGGGGGAAATAGCAAGGGAGGAGAAGAGTCAACAGGAGAGTACAATCAATAATACTCGTACTGCAGGCACATCCGAAGGCTCCTGTTGGGATCAGTGCAAGACTGTGCGAGCGCATTAAGAGACAGTCCCTGCCCTCTACAGCTTAAAGCCGGGAATTACGAGATGATTGCTGGAGATTGGTTTAGGTGATCACAGATTTTTCTTGTGATCTTGAGCCTCATTTAATGGGATCTGCTCTGAATGGGTTTAAAGGCAGAAGGAAAGTAGCTGGTTGTGCCAAGAAAACACAGGGTAATGCCTGCCAGCCAGGCATGCAATTAATCTGAGCCACTTAGGGGACTTTGTTTTTAATTATAAAATGTAGGTAAAAATATGTGCAGTAAACCTCCAGAAGCCCCACTGGGGCCATCAGTAAGCTACCCAGAGGCATTGGCATGTGGCTGGGTTTTGATGCTGTGTTTTCAAGAGGATGGGCTGATGCTTTAATGGACACTTTGAGGGAAATATTCCACGTGGGGCAAACAAATGCAAAAGATTTTTGTGTGGGGATGAAGAGAAGGCAAAAGCTAAAAGTATCAGTAGGCAGGGCATTCTTGTAGTCCTGGAAACAGGGAAGAAGAAAAACTCTTAAAGACTTAGAAAAGGAAGATGAAAAATATATAAAGGAACAAAAGAGCATAAGCATGATGGATGCAGGGGGCAGCAGGAGGGGAGAGGAGATAAGATCTTAAAGAGAAAATATCATATCCCAAGGTGGATTTTTCTGAAAACGCGATTAAAGTCAGACTCCCCTGTGAGGTTCACAAGGGATCTGGTGCTTTGTGTGAGGCTTAACTTCTTCAGCACTGCATGTTGCAGAAAAGCAATTGAGAGAAGGTGCACGTAGAAATAAATAAGAGCACCAGGGGAATTGCACACACAGGCAGCATCTCTGCTTGTTTGCAGCATTTGGGAAGCATGAAAGGGGCTGGATGTGAGGAGGAGGGGAAAGAACTAGAAAGGGAGTCTGCGCTCCTCTGTGCTCTCTTGGCAACACAGCTGTCACAGCTGCCTCCTCTTCTTCCCTCCAGGAGTGACCTGAGCTGCACAGAAACTGTGCCTATTTAATTAAGGCCTTTTATCAAAGGGAAGAAATGGTGGCTGCATGATCTAATGCAGGGCCATCTGTAATTGTAGGCATCCCAGAGGAAGTGAGGAGCCAGGGTGGACCTAACACATCTGCTGCCATTCTGAGATAGTGCAGAGCCCTCCTTGTCTGTTAGGGCCTCGATTTCTTTGGTGGCACTTTTGCGCACCCCAATCTGCTTTCCATAGCTTGAAAATAGATGACGAACCAGCACAGTGTTCCCTGAATGCACAGTAAGGAGCATTAAGGATTATCACCGGTGGTTGTGTTTCTTCTCACGCAGTTGTCTAAGCACAGTCCTTCCCCTAGGCTGAGCCTAGATGCAGGGCAAGGAATTTCCTTTGAATTCCATGTGCTGTGTCTCTTAGAAGAGTTTGGTTTTAGATAACTGGCCCTCAGTACACCTTGAAAGCCCACTACAGAACTGGAATTTAAAGCCAATCCTTTTGAACCTCCTTCCCTTGCTTTGTATGAACATGATGCCATAGCCCTTCTCCCTCAAACTGCGTTTGGCCTAGGAGAGCAAGAGGGCCTGGTGGGCTGTGCCATACAGTAGCCCAGTTCCCAGGGTGTGTGGCTGCAGTTTCTCAAAAGAAATCTCTCTGCAGGAGACAGATGGAAGTTTTATACTCCCTTCAGCCTCTTAGTGAGGAAGTCCACCAGGAGGAGTACTTGGCATTAGAAAGGAGTCCTAGAGGAAAATGATTACAGATGTTACCAATAAGGACAGAGGAAGAAAATCTAGCAATAGCATATCTCAATCAAACATCAGGCAACATGTTTAGAGAGAAAACAAAAAGTCTTCAGATGGCAGCTCTGTGCTATTCAGTTCTCCCACTGTTTTGCAGCAGTAGAAGTGGATCCCTCTTTCTGAAACACTGCTTTGGTTTCTGGTGTGTGGGAGATTTTGTACTGATAAGAGAGACTAAAGCAGAAGCTAGAAGTTGGAGGAGAATGTTCCTTCCTGGCTGTGCCAGAGCCATACAGAAGGCACCATATGCACTAAGTGAGCACATTTGATGCTGGCCTTCCAGAAATCATCCGTGGGATCTCATGCTCTTATGACCATACACAAGCTGTTAAGGCTCTTGCAAACAGGAGAACCAGGACTGGGCCCTCATCATCTCCTGACTTTACACAATATTGAGTTACATCCCTGAACAAATAGCTTGCAGAAGTAATTCAGTCTGTATTTTTCAAACTAATCATGAATGTTGGGTATTTTGTTGAAGGCATGCCTACCTCAAGCAGCCACAGATCTCATTTCCAGGCAGACTGACTTCTTATTAGTCTTATTGACTTAGAGGGAACAGAAAGTGCTCAAGAATCAAGCACAGGGCTACTATAGCTCGGGCCATCTATAAATAAGCCACCTCTTGTTACTTATTCCTGATATTTTTGTCCTTAATTTCTCTTTATTTTCCTTTAGTTTTTCTCACTTTATAGAAGTAGCTTTGAAAACAAATGTTAACTGTTTCGATTCCCCAGATCTCTTAGTCACGTGCATTACAGAAATACTAAGAAAGAAATTATTCTGAAGTCTGTAATTTAATCTAAATTCTGTAGTGACCAAATATGGCAAACCAGGGGTAGAAAAGGACGTGAAATAATTAAACTTGCAGCAAGCATCACCAGCACTGTGAAATGACTGAGGCAAAACTTAGCATGCTGTAATGTGCATCTCTGATTGTAGCAATGCATTTGTATAAGGAGGATGAAATAAAACTGCAGGTCTGAAGGAGGTGCTGGACATCTTGACATTTTCTGTTTCTGCCCACTTGCTTATGCAAGAATGCAAGTCTTGCACGTAGCTTTTAAAAAGCCTACGAGACAAGCATATTAAATGCTCACCTCTAAGCTCAGGAATGAATATTCCCCCTGGAAAGGGAGCAAGTAACAGTCCTTTCTGGTCTCAGATTCTGCAAGGTGAACTCTAAGTCAAGGACAGTGGGTTCGTTGTGGGGCTGCAGGAGGTGCTTTACAGCAACATAAACAGATAAATAACTACTGTTCAGTAGCACAGGAATTGGCCGGGGCAATTGGATGATGGTTTAGGCCTGTAACTTTAATGGGGCTCTTTGTGAATCTAAACTTAGATGAATACTTTCCTGGATCTGAACCCAACATTTATCATGCTTCCCTCCAAGCAAACTGATCATTGTCTGTTACTTGGCCTGTAGACTTAACTCTCCTAGTGTTTTTTTTATTACTGATAATTCAGAGTTCTTACTCTTTCCTCTGTTCTGAAAGGTAGAGAGATGCCTGGGTATTGGAAGCTCTCTGCAGCATGCTGAGGAGACGAAACCTTCTTACTACGCTCCTGATTGTCTTGCCATGGGCTCTTCTCCTAACCTTGTGGCACCAGTACCCAACCACCCGCTACCTCAGCCTGCTGAGAAGTAAGTGCAAGAGCTCTGCTGTCAATGTGCTTGTGGTTGTGACGATTGTTGGCGTGAGCCCTCCATAGAAGACTCACTCTCATGGGAACAAACTTGCCTGCAGTACACACCCAAATTTTTCCTAAGAGTATGTTAAACATGCTCCTTAGCTTAGCTTTAGAGAGAGAAATGTGCTGAGCACTGAGTTCAGAAAGATAGGTCCTCAGCATCCCCCTGGAGAGGAGGCAGCTCTGCAGCGCTCAATTCTCTAATGTCTTTCTTCTTCCTTCCTTCCTTTGTCTCAGAAGACACAGATGAGAACGTGACCTCTAAAGCTCTCCTCAATGGTACTTCTACACTGAGAGAAGAAGGCTTCCCGTCATGCATTCGCCAGCAGCAGAGCATAGGGGTGACGCCTAAAGTCATCCAGAATTATGTGTATTCCAGGCCTCCCCCATGGTCAGACACCCTGCCGACCATATTCGTTATCACCCCTACCTACACTCGGCCAGTGCAAAAAGCTGAGCTGACCCGGCTGGCCAACACCTTCCTGCATGTACAGAACCTGCACTGGGTGGTGGTGGAGGACTCACCCCGGAGGACCAACCTAGTGTCCAACCTGCTGGAGAAGGCAGGCCTCAATTTCACCCACCTCAATGTGGAGACGCCCAAGAGCCTGAAGCTGGGGCTGTCCTGGATCCCATCCCACACTCCACGGGGAACACTGCAGAGGAACCTGGGGCTTCACTGGCTGAGAGACAGCTTCAGCAACACAGCACCACCAGAAGGGGTAGTGTATTTTGCTGATGATGATAACACTTACAGCCTGGAGCTGTTTGAAGAGGTAAGAGCCATAAAAAACAATACAAATGCAAAAGCCTCTTAAGGACAGGAACTACCTGTAGGTTGTAGGCCTCTAAGACCTTTAAGACAGGGCTACCATGTGGACTTTAGTCATTAACTGGGAGGTATGAGCTGTGGCAAGCTGCCTGGAGCCCTTCTACCCTGGCGCTCTGTGGGACCTGGGTATAGGGCAGATATAAGCCTACAAACCCACAGTTATGCTGACCCAGTAGCCATCCTCTGAAGGGCTGAAAGAGCAAAGAGTACATCTGCCATGGTGGAGGCTGCAGATGTGAGTAGCCACTCACATAACATTGTTCCAACTGCAGCCTCCTTTTGCCAGGTTTGTTTCCATAGAGATCAGAGTATATATACCCCAGAATATGTACCTCTCCTCAGGGGGAGCTGACTTGATTTAAATAAGCACTAATGATAAACTTCTGGCAAAGCATAAATCTGTGCTCTGGTGGGAGTGTGATGAGTAGGGGGTACTAGAACAGTTTGCTGACTTTCTAATAGACTTTTTGTCCTTTCCTGTCCTCCTGAGTTCCAGCCACCACAGCAGAGCTGTGCCCCTGGGATCATAGAAGCTTGCCCAGACTTTTGTTGGAAATCTGGCTTTTGTGAGATGCCAAGTCTATCACAAACTTGCAAAAATGATTATTCAGTAAACTCCCTTGTCACCAAATTAAGCCAGGCTGTTATACGCCAGTCAAAATACCATGTTATGCCTCAGAACACATTTCCAGTTTTCAGAATTTTTTAGGTGGCTGCTAAGCTCATCCTTTTTTATTTATTTCCAAGTCTTTTTTATGGCAATTTCAGTAATTTCAGTTGCTCTTTTAAGAAGTAGCTGTGGATGGAAGGGCAAGGGTGAGGGAAAGCTGCAGTAAAGGAGGACAAAGGTGCATCGGTCAGGGAGGGAGATTACTTGAATGAGGGTGGAGTGAGTGAAGTTATTTACAAAAAATGATAAAAGTTCAGATGAAATCAGAAAACCACAGGTTTTCCCTCTTACAGAATCATAGAGCCATTTGAGATGGATGGACCTTTAAAGGTCATTTAGTCCAACTCCTTGCAATGAGCAGATTGGATTGCTCAGAGCCACTTTCAGCCTGTGCTGCCTAGAGCTATGCAATTGCAGACGAAGTCAACAAGGAAGTACAGGTGCCAAAGAAAACAGAGGATGGCATACTAATGGGCTGGGAAGAGCATCGTAGAATTGCATTGTCACAGCACTGTTTCCTTCTGCCACACAGATGCGCTACACAAGGAGGGTGTCAGTTTGGCCGGTGGCGTTTGTTGGGGGGCTGCGGTACGAATCTCCAAAATTGAGCCCAGCTGGGAAGGTGGTGGGATGGAAAACCGTCTTTGACCCTAATCGGCCCTTTGCTATTGACATGGCTGGATTTGCCATCAGCATCAAGCTGATCTTGGAAAAGCCTCAAGCCAGTTTCAAGTTGGAGGGAGTTAAAGGAGGCTACCAGGAAACCAGTCTGCTGAAGGATTTAGTGACTATGGATGGGCTGGAGCCCAAAGCAGCCAACTGCACAAAGGTGAGCAGGACAAGAGACCTGGAAAATATATCTCCCTTTCTAAATCCTGGCAGCTTTCATGGCCTCCTGCCATGCCCTATTCATCTTTCCCTGTGTCTGCTCTGTGCCAGCACACCTCAGCTCCAAACTGTGCCAGACAGGCATGGCCTGCCAAATGCTATGCAGATGAGAGGCTCAGGGAATGCTGAGGAACAGCTAGTGCCATGCACTCTAATAAAGAGCCTCTTCCATGCAATTCATGCTTAGGAGACCCAGGAGAAGGTTGACTAGGGTTTTGGTCCAGAATGCTCCCTATTACCTGTCAGTGTTTCATACACCTGTAAAGCCTCCCCCAGACCCTGTCTTGATTTCTGTTCTCACACATCTGAGCCCTGAATTTGGTTCTCTTTAGGTATTGGTCTGGCACACAAGAACTGAGAGGCCAACTCTGGTTAACGAAGGCAAGCGTGGATTTACAGACCCCAGGGTGGAGGTGTAAGCAGAGAGACAGCTCCCCAGTGTGAGTACCCTTGTCTTTATTGGTTTTGGCAAGGCAAATAGTCTGTACATGTTTCTTTATTTTTGTTATTATTTCTTTCAAGACTGCATATACGGTAGCCCTGATATCTCCCTTATCATGTCACCCTTTGCACAAGAAGTGGATCCTCATCTTTACTGCCTGTCTGCATTCTGTGTGCATTTAAGCCTCCGTGCAGTCTCCACGGAAGCTTTGCTTGCATACAGGCAGAGAGAAAAACAACAGAAGAATCTCATGGTTTACGTCAGCAATGGTAGGCCACATTCCTTGCTCCCCAGTTTCTGACAGGTTCAAACTTCCTTTCATGGGAAATTATTCTGCAATGAATGGAAAGAGATCATTGCCCCATCAGCCTTACCACCTCTGCAGTGCTCCATCTATCCACATTCAGCTTCTATCTCACATGAACTACCTTGGTGTGGATGCTGCATGGAAGGGTTGGTGAGACATTGAGACCATTTCAAAACAGGAACCTATGCAGACTGTGATGATTTGAGGAACTCGTTATCAGCATTACCAGAGCTAGGAATACATCTGCTGATGAGGGAAAACAGTGAAGGCACTGAAATTGCCTACATAGTCCACAGACCAAAGTTCAGCAGTAGGAGGAGGGATTATAGCATCCTCCATAGGTAATGGTAGGAATATGTAAGAGTACAGTGATGTGTTCTTAGAAAGTGATGATGGACAGACTTCAGAGGAGCCATGACCTCCTCTATCAGCTGTCATCCTTTCTGATCTTAACGTCTGCTGTTGGCAGATTCCTACCCCAAATGTTCCAAAAGAATAAAAGTTGCCAACTAAGGAGGACCAAGCTCTTTCTGTAGCGATTTCTACTTGTAACCAGATAGAGGATGCTGAATGATTTACTCCTGCTTTGGAAGATATTCTAAGGCTGCTTTCAGTCCTGACCCCAGTATTCATCTGAGCTGTACTGGGGAGGAAAAACTGATTGCTTTTTTATGGACAATTGTGCATGCTTCAATTTCTGCACTAATCTGGTGTGTGCATTGTTTGTAGCTGCATACAGCATTTCCACATTAACCTGTCATCTTCCAAGTGACAGCCATACAAGGGGCAAAGCAATCCCTGGACTGGGAGTCAGCTGCCTAAATGCAGAACCTGGTGCCACCCAGGAACCCTGGGGCATCCTACCTGACCTTCCTGTAGGGCACAAACTCTATCATACCTGCTAGTTTTTCATAAAAATCTCAAATTTCCTAGCAAATGTAAAATCATGCTAGACCTATGCTTAGGCAGCAGCACCTCTCTTAACCTTACTTTTGTGCGATCCATTACCAGTAATGGGTTCATATTACCATTGCCATACTGGGTCTGCTGTAGACTAAAGCTGCAATTGTCTAAGTTCAGTTCATAAGGACTCCAGTTAACTCTGTAAAGGATGAGCAGGTTTAACAGCACTCAGACAGATGAGGCTACTTGCCAATTCTTGCCTGATCACTAGAGGAGGGGGTAACTGCTTCATAACAGGCACAGAGAGTAGATATGATGTTTTAATGAATGCAGCATTTATGTGTCTCTCTTTTGTCCTCACCCCATCTCCATGGCCAAACACTCAGCCATCCTCCATAAGAAATGCCAAGCACCTACTCTAGATGCTCATGAGAATGGCTCTCTGTAGGTCATTTGTTGTGGGAAAGGGAACTAACTGGTGTAGGACTTCGAGACACTGCCCCTCATTTACCAACACCCTTTTCCAGAGCCATTCTCTCCTGTATCTTCAAGCCAGAATCTGCGCTCAGTCAGCTCTGTGTATTTTAAAAGAGCTTTTCCAGTTGCATCAGTGGAGAACACACCCACAACCCTTCCTGCACCATCATTTGTCCTGTGAGGCAGCTGCTTCGACCCAGGTGAGCAGGAAGCATCCACTCCAGGAGACACCTCCAAATTAAATGTGCTGCCTTGAGAAGCTTAGTGGATGCAGCTGAGAGCAGTCAAGCAAAATCATGAGCTTCCACACTCACACTCCCTGTGAAATTTTAAATTGACACCTCTGCTGACAGTTATACTGAATTTTGGAGGCTCTTACTATCAAGGCTGCTGAGCTTCAGAAGCCTGACAGACACAATCTAGATGAGCTAGTGCTGAGAAAATAAGTATAATTCATCCCCTGCGAATGTTCTGTTGTTAGATGCAGTGGGGAGAACGTTTCTGTCTTTTTCTCCTGGGAGCTTGTCCTCATTGAGGATCAGATCAGGCCAGGTGAGTCCTAGACCCTTCAGAAACCCTTTCCCCCTTAGCACTTGTGGATATGAGCCAGGCTTTGGTGCTTGTGGGTTTTGGTGCTCTATTAATCACCAGTTAGACCACATACATTGTTTCTTGGCATGTGTTCCTGCTCTCTGGGTTGCCACAGATGCATTGTGAAGGGATCTGCTGATTATGTAAACTGCAAAGATCAGGCTTCAGCAGGTACTGCATAAATAGTGGTTATTTTGTCCGAGCTGGAGCCTGCTTTCTTCTTTGCCAGCATTCCCACCGCCCTTGGCTGTGTCTAGCTGAACCATAGCAGTATTTGTGAGTCATGGGGAGAATACTCCATCAGAGCAGATCTACAGAGAGGGGAAAATAAGTCATGTGGCACAGTTTGCCTTTTCATGAGAACAAAATGAAAAAGGAGTGCTGAATGTTTTTTAAAAAAGAATTTTATTCCTTAAACTAGAGTTCTAATTTTTCCACCCTGAGAACCATTAGGGCCAATCTGGGATGTGTTGGGATTGAGGATCTTGGGTGAGATCTAAAACCTCTCCCAGTATACGTCTTTGCAAACTGTTTTGAAACCAGACCCCATAGAAAAATAGACTGTGGCTTCTGAGAGCAGGAGGTGGGGGTTAATTTTGCTCTCTATCTTTTCTTTGCTAAAGCCTTGAAAACTATCATTGAAGCCTGGCGTTATAAAACTTACTTGTTCTTTTTGCTATCATGTGTTTACAGCCATCAGAGAGAGATGAGCTCACTTAGGACTCCTGCTGCCTTGAGATTTTTGGAAATAGGGAAAGAAACTCACCTCCATTTCAGAGCTTCTAGACAGATTGAACAGGGTTCTTCAAATCTTATCTTCTTTCTTTAGAAACAAACAAAAAAGCCAACAAAAAAAAAGAGGTTGAGATAATGATTTCACTGGGGAAAAAAAAACCCTTCAAAACCTTTTACTAATTAATAAATAGAACATCCCTGCTAGGACTCTGCAGTGCAAATAGAACAAACAGCATTTTGGCCGTATCCCCAGCCTGCAGCTGTAAGGTTGAGAAACCTGGTTAGTGATGCTGCCTAGTGTATACCTGAGCCAGGAGACAACTCTCCTTGAAACGCCTCTCCTGCCCTGATCTACTGGACATGATGTTGAGATTTCTATCTCTTTCTTACCTCACTTTGTGTTTGTTTTAACAGAGGCAGCGGGCAGTGATTGTTCTGAAGCTTGCTGGCAACCACAACTGTGTACCCTGCCTGTTCTACCACTGGAGGATGCTAAATGCCCCCACATGTAGCCACATCAATCAGCTCCTGCTGCCCAGAAGGTGGCAATGAGCAGGGAGAGAGTGGATATGCTCCCTGTGATCATACAGCTCTCCACTTTGACTCTGTGTACTGGCTCCCATTCCCTGGCTGAGAGGCGTGCCTCCCTTCCCTTGTGGGCATTGTGCTTTTAACCATTCATGAAACAGAAAACGTCTTAGATTTGATCTCCATCCCTGCTGTGCCAGCATAGAGGCTGAAATCCACAAAGGGTGCAGGTGCCTCTGAAGATCCCTCTTGGCATACTGTGAAACTTGAGCTTCAGGACAGCAGCTGTGAGCTGCTGTGGTTCAAGGACAGGAGTTGTTGCAAAAGCACAGATGTGGATCTGTCAGTCTGAGGTATGCTCTCAGTGAGAACAGCTTAAAAACAAAGCTAGCCTGAGAGAGGCTCCCCCTCGGATACACGCATGGATCAGCTTTCAGTACTGGGGAAACAGCTGTGCTGGAAGCCCTCATTTTGGGTTTAGGAGTTCAGAAGTGCCTCAGCTGAGAACTTGAACTGCCCTAACTGCAGATTGTGTTGGAAGATGCTGTCCCAGTTCCCAGGCCGGTGCCCTCTGGATGAAGTTTGTCTCCCACTCAGGGTGACCTGGCAGGTACTGCACCTCAGAGGCCATGCCTCCATGTCCCAGTGTGGGAACAGCAAGCAGGGGCAGAGATGAATGGTCCTGAAAACTCTGTTCCTGCTGCAGCACCGTTAGGCACTTTAGTAGCCTCAAGTCATGAATACAGAGTTGTTCTCTAAACCTCCAGGGAGGAAGACACCTTTCTGGAGTGGAGGTGGGTGAGAAGTGCTTAGGAAAAGAACGCTGAGCTTTAACTCGTCTCCTGTGTGAACATCAAGAAATGTAGAAAAGAGATCATCATCGGGAAATGTATCTTGAGCACACGAATGTCAACATTTGCTATGTCACTTGTCAAGTTTCCAGTTGAATTCTGATAGCACGTTTGGCCCTGTGAACAGGGAGAAAATACAGCATTATCTAGAACGGTTTTCCTTTCCCTTGATAAAATAGAATAGCCTGGGTAAAGGCAGCCTACAGACAAGCAGGTGGCAAATGAGGACCAAAGGAAGGATGCACTGGGTTAAAAGCACAAGCGTTTGTACCATGTGTGCATGGGGAGAAATGTCTCTCTGACTTTTTGCAGGAAGATTTCCTGACTGACCCAGAAACCTCTCTGAGCACACCTTACCAACCATCTTCGCTCAGGCCATGAGGAACAAGGCTTCAAGCATTCAAAATGCATCAAGGATTTGATAGACTGAAAAAAATCATGAGCAATCAAACCGCCCCCTGCTCAAGAAACTCTGGGCTGGCAGGATACATTTATTTGTTGATTTATTTATACTGCAATCTTTTCTGCCTGTTCTTTGTTTCACTTTGTTTTTTAACTTAGGTCATCTGACATACTCATGAGGAAAGAACAATTCCCCTCTCACCCCAGACGCTCACAGAATAGCAGAGCTTGGCATTCACTTCTGAATGTCTTTATGCTTCTTGCTGTCTGGGGTTTCTTTACAATGGCATCCTAAGCTGGCAAAATAATCAGAAACACAGCAAGGAGGGAAGTACAGCGAAGGGAACTGTTATTCCTTTATGCAAGAGACGTGGGTGGCACTAAGTTTCTGGCTCCTGAGCAATCATGGTGAGGTAAAAACATGTGCGAAGGAGTGCCTCAATCAAGTAGATAGTCCCCATGGGATCTCAGGAGGCATCCGTGAAGGGGGGCTCTTGGAAGGATATCTGATTGTTGATCTGTGTTCCCATAGTGGGGAACTAGCATGCAGACATCCTGCTGTGGGAGTGAGATTAGAGTGCATAAGGGGCCAAAGGGAGTGAGATGCATCCCGATGGGGAGGAAGGCATGAGGAAACAAGGAGTAGGCAGAGAGCAGAGAGAGGGTGGCTGTGCTCAGTGTGGCCTGGCCTCCCTGCAAGCTGTCTCAGCACTGAAGAAGTACTGAATGGGCCATAAAAACTGTGCCTTTTTGTGACCCCAGAAAGGTCTTTACACAGCAAGTGTCCGGCATATGTGACCTGGGTAGCATGGAGGAAGCCTGGCTCCGCCAAGCACTTTTCATTCTCTGTTTGTCAGAGCTTCATGCCCTGGCCTCTCTGTGTGAGGTAATGAATGGGCCTTGCACTCTAGTGGGTGTTGCTGACCCATCCCTGCCATTGGGCAGGAAGGCTGGCTCAATGATCCCACTCACCATTAATAGAAGACTGTCCCCTTCTTTGTGATTTTAGTCCATGAGCAAAGAGCAAGAGAATAAAGGAGTCTATTTATGATCTTCCATTTTCCCCTCCCAGATGGGTAGGGATTCTGCCCGAATGAAAAGGAGGGGATGTGGTAATTAATTCCCTGGCCTTCAATATCAAGCGTATCCTACTTGGGATTTTGATGCTACAGGTGGATGTTTGTAGCAAGGGTATGCTCCCATTGCAAAGGACACCCCCACATGCATATGTGCTTTTAGAGATGATGTCTCTCTGCATCCCTATAAAAAAGTAAAATCATTGTTCCTATTTTTCCCCCTGGGGCCCCGGATTGCAGTGATAGGAGCACACTGTCACTCAGTTCTGCTCTGAGTTGCTCACAAGACCAGCCCTGCCACACCAGTCTCACATCAGCCTGAAGAGGGATTCTGTGAATCAGGAAATTCTGCCAGATGCTAAATTGTATAGGACTGAGACTTTGTATGGACTGTGTGGCTGCACACAGCTGTTGTTTCGGGCTAACAGATGTTCTGAACACTCCAGCACAAATACTCTTTTTACAAATACCCTGTAGAGCAGACTAAGGACACCGATGACTGCTGCCAGGCGGGGTGCAGCAGCAAAGGGTAGGTAAGGACAGACAGCACAAGTTCAGAGGGCTCTTTGCTAGCAGAGCTCAGCAGAAGTTACAAGCTTTGAGGAAAGTGAACAAGGGGTACAATAAAGGAGGGATGGTGCACATCAAGCCTGAAGTGTTTAAAGAGCAGGCATCCCAGCGCCTGTTTTTTTACTAGCATATTAGTATCTGATATTCATGTTCTCTGAAATCCATCCAATTCACCAACCAGTGAATATTCCTAACATTTCCTGTTGCAGAAAATACTATTGAAAGAGGAAGGAGAATGTCAAGGAAGTAATTTTTAATGGTTATTTATTTATATTGAATGGTACAAGAGCGTTATTAAATATGATGTGAATATTGCACCATTTTCTGTCTTGCAACATAAGGGCTTGCTTCTTTTCCAGGAAAACACAGTGCACTCTATAACGGAGAATGTGTCTATTGTAGTTTTTCTCATTCCAAGAGTACTCCCTTCAGTCTTCACCTGACCCAGATGTTACAAGAGAAATTCAAGCAAAACCATTTCATGTCCCTGAGACTGATGACTGCATGAAGGAGGTGAAGGTGGTCCTGCGCACTGCAGCCCATTGCATCTCCTAGAGATGTGCAGGAACAACACCAGCAGGGTGAAGAAGGGCAAGCTATGGCACTACAAGGTCTGGACACCTTAACCAACTGCACATTGCTTCAGTTCCTTGTGCCAGTCCCTGTAGGGTGCAACTCATTGGGAAGAATGTCTTGCAGGCACTATGTGTCAGTCCAATGGGATCAGACAGGGAAACTACTCCGGTCTCCTGGTTTTCCCTTCTCTTCTCTGAAAGGCTGAGAAACAACTGTGGTGGCCAGAGGCATCTGAAATGTTCACCCTACCAGAAAAAAACTGCCACCCCCACAAAAAGAGGAATGGCACTGCTTGTCAGTGGTGGCTGAAGTCCTCTGCAATATCTTTACTAAATGTAATGCTGCTTTCCTATTTCCTTGATTAAAAACCCTGGGGGTCAGGCAGAGCAGTGGGCAGGACACACTGACTCTGGCACTGCCTGAGCACCCTGCTTGGTGTCACCCCAACATGCTGTTCTTCCCCTCCTGCGGCCTTACATTTTCAAAGCTAAGCTTGCCAGCCACTCTGCTGTATTTTCAACAGGGAAGTGATGCAGGTCCCAGGGCATAACAGAGGCAGAAGGAGGGGAAAGAGCAAGAGAGAATGAATTGTATTAAATGGTGAAGTACTTCTCTGTCTCTCATCACATTTGGGGCTGATGGGAGGTGAAATTACACTTGAAGGAAGGGGAAGCGCCCCTCCCCTGAGACATCCAGAGGCTCCTGCGCAAACTTAATTTCAAGCTCTGCTGAAGATGGTATTTGCCTTTTTTTCCCTATGCATTCATTTAATTTCTCGGGTGGACATGTGAAAATGAGAAAGGTAGACCTTTGGCTGTCAAGACAGCCCTGTTCCTGTGCCTTACAGATCCAGTTCCACATTGTTTTCCTCCATCACTGCCCTCAATACATCTGTACAGAGGGGTTGCAAAAATGCCTGCCAACTATCCTCCATGCTTCAGTGAAGACAGTTTTTTTTTTTCATTTAAGCAACCCAATTCATTTTTAATTCAAATCTCTCCCTGCCTTTCACGTCAGAGGAAAAAATAGGAGTGCAGTGACCTTGAAGAGACTTGGCCTTGCTGGCACCATGAAGTTCTGATCTGCATTCAGCTCTCCTGCACACCGTTGTTTGCACTTTGTAGACTAGTGGTGGGTTCTGATTCACCAATTTTGGTGACCATAGGAGAAAGGGAATGAGAGGAATCATAATTCTCACGTTTGGTTTTTGAGGGATCTTGAAAGAGACATTCATGGAGATTCAGCTCCCCAGCCAGCACAGAATTAAGTGCTGTTTGGCTCCCTCCATGCCCAGCTGATCTGGCTAGCTATACATTAGTTTTCCAGTCATGAGAACATATATATAACATAGGCTGAACTAAAGATTGGGGCAAGCTGTTGCTTTTCCAGCTGACATGCTTATTGTGCCCCAGAAAGGCACAAGGTGGCAATTTTTACACCACCTGACTGCCAGTAAAGTTAGCAGAGCTGCCAGTGCAGATCCTTTCCAAAATGACCTGCTTCTCTCTGCCTCAGAAATTGATGGAGACAGGCCTTGCCCACGCTCACAGAATCATAGAATCACAAAGGTTAAAAAAGACCGTTAAGTTGATCTAGTCCAACCACCAACCCATCCCCAGCATGCCCACTGAGCCGTGTCCCTCTGTGCCACATCTACAAGGTCCTTGAACACCTCCAGGCACAGTGACTGCACCACCTCCCTGGGCAGCCGTGCCACTGCCTCAATACCCAACCTGAACCCTCCCTCCCGGTGCAACTTGAGGCCATCCTGTCTCATCCTATAGCTGGTACCCGGGAGAAGAGGCCAACTCCCACCTCACCACCACCACCTTCTTTTCTCAGTGTGTTTTCTTTATCTACCATCACAATAACTTCTCCAAGGAAGTTTTAAGTAACGAAAACAAATACTACAGCTGATGCAGCTCCTCACGGGGAGCTGAGGGGCAGCGCTGAGCTCTGCTCTGTGTGACAGCGACAGGGCCCGAGGGAACGGCATGGAGCTGTGTCAGGGGAGGGCAGATGGGGGTTGGGGACAGGGTCTGCACCACAGGGCGGTGGGCACGGAACGGGCGGACCAGCACCTGAGGGCGATGACTACAGCTCCCAGCATGCCCCGCGGCAGCTCCGCCCATCCCGGTGTGCTGGGAGCTGTAGTCTCTGCGGAAGGAGCGGGCCGGCCGTGAGGGGCGGTCGCCGCGGGGTGAGAGTGTCCGCGTCCTTATCTCGAGCTGGGGCGGAGCGGGTGAAAGATTGGGTGCCTACAAGGGCAGGGGAGTGAGCCCAGGTCCCCTCGCATGCTGACGGGTGCGCGCGGCGCCGCGTTTTCCCGCCCTTTCCTCCGGGCGCTCGTTGGGTGGGCAGAGGAGCGGGGGCCGTGCCGCTGCCGGGGCCCCGAGCTGCTCCTCCTTCCCTCGGCGGAATCGTGAAGGGCGGATCTGCGCTGGCGGAGGGGAGCGCCGCCGCCTCCCGAAGTCGGTGCCTGGAGTGGCGGAGGTGCTCGGCCGCAGCCATGTAGCCCCGAGCGGGCGGCGGCTGGCGGCGGTCACCCGGAGCGAGAGCCATGTCCCTATCCCGCGTGGAGAACCCCTGCTTCCTGCTGTTCCTGCTCGTCTTCCAAGCCGTGTTCATCCTGATACTGTACCGAGGTGGAGCCTCCAGCGTGTTCCGGGGGTTTTTGGAGTCGCAGCGCGTTTTGGATTACTCCAAAAGCCACGACGTGTATACGAACCTCAGCCTGCTGGTCCCGGCTGGCGGCGGGGCGGCGCTGCCCTACTGCTCGGCGCACTCACCCATCGCCGGTACGTACCGACCTCGGGCTCCTCCCGGCTCCGGGTGTCGCTCTTTTGGGCTCCTGTTAGGCTTTCAGCGTTTAAACTGTGGTTTGTGTGAGGATGCGTCTCGCTCTTCGCGGTGATTGTGTCGGCCTGGGATTTGTTGTGTGTCTTTGACGGTGTCCTCCATGCGCTTTGGAGTTAAGTCGCAGGCTGTGCCCCGTTTACGGCGGGTCACAGCTGCTCCTTGAAGCGGCGTTAATTCAGCTGTTGTGCTGCTAAGACATCCCCTAAATGAAGTAAATGCCAAGTTAGAACCATAGAGCAAGTTTAACAGCGGTGATGCACTGGTGTTAGTGAATCCCTTCCACTCGGGTAGCCCGGACTGGAAGAGTTCTGTAAGTGTGCACGTGTTGTTGCTGTGGCTGTTCCACTGCTGAACATACAGCACTGTAAGTTACTCTGGTCTGTTCTTCCCTACAGCACAAGTTTCTGTATGCCTAACTTTTCACATCCATAGTCTTGATACACACTCCTTAGTCGTGCTGCTCTTCTAGGAAAGTGGTTCTGTGCAAATGGAACACGGAGAGAGCAGCCTGACCTTAGCTCACAGGTAGAAGTGTTGTGGAAGACAGCAGCTTTGCTTCCTCCTGTGCTGAGCTGCTTGCTTAGCTTACTGAGCTGTGCTGGCCGCCTCCAGCTGAGCCTTTTGAGGATGTAATGCTGCCTGTTCTGTGGAGTTTTCTTCCTACCACTTGCTGAAGTTAAATGAAATGCAGTACGTGTGGTAATGTTTGGTGTAAGCTTCAGCACTTCTCCTGGAAACAGCTCTATTAAGCATTACTGAAATAGCACAGTTTCTTTGTACAAGTGTCAGTTATAATGGTCTTAGTATAGCCTCTTGTTCATCATTAACCAGAGCCCATCAGTTCTTGCGGGAAGCTATGATTCTGTGGCTCAGGCTGCCTTGTTTTGCTGGGAAACACAGCAGAAATTGACTTGTACCTTGCTTGTTTCCACTACTGACAAGAATCTGCTGTCCTGAACAAATGAGTAAGCTTTGCTCTTAAATTTTAAAAAGTAGATGTAATTCTGTGCAGCTTGCCTGCCAACAATCAGATAAGCGAGAGCAGTGATGATGTACATGGAGGAGGCAGATGCAGAGTGAAACTGCATAAAAGTAATGGATGGTGTCAGAGCTAGAAAATCTACATTAAGATCTTTTCTACTCCCCATTCCTGGCAGTACTAAGAAGAGAGGGGTTGGCCAGCATGTCATACTCCAGCAATAATATGAAAACAGTGTAGTTAGAGGCAGAAGCAAACAGTATGACTGAGTAGGTAAAAGAAAAAATAGTGAAGCAAAGGGACTGTGGGAGTTCTGCTGTACTAATGAGTTAGAATGGAGAATATGAAGCATTGTTGCTGTTAAACGATATTTTAGAGCATTGTTACAGGTTGAGATTAAGAAAAATAACTTGTAGTTTCTACTCAACAATGTTTCCTTTTATATTTTATTTATTCCTATATGCCAGCCTCTTGAGAGTGGTATT